TTCAAAATGCTCTAAAAACATCACTTTCTTCCAAAATACTCATGAACCTATAAATATGCTTAAAAGACTTTAAAACATAGTGATTGGATATTAAAACACTCATATACCATGGATAAAAGTGGATCAAATCTATGGTATATCATTAGTGATCTAAATAACATTGTCAATTACAATCAACCAAAACTTGAGTTTCAAAGTTTTATGGGAGGATGTCTGGTCATGAGGGTCTTTGTTTTGCATGCGCTAACAGTCATGCACACAAGGTGATAGCCTAGAGATCATCACAAAGTTTTTGAAACATCCTAACAGGTACAATTGACTCAATAAAATAGACGCATAGATTCTAGGACCGGCTCTAAAATACACTAAATGCAAGAAACAAAAGAAACAACATCAGTAGCATCCTCTCCCAGACTTATCTTACACCGTCTCGGTGCGAAAATAATTCCAAAAGAGGCGATAGACGATGCGAAAATAATTGCAAAGGAGGCGAAATAAATAAAAGCAATACACAAAATAAAGAGAAAGAGAAACGAATATATATGGTTTCCTTCCACTCATCGCTTGTTTAAGTCACGAGCCTAAATTTTAGAGTTTAGTTTTTGTCCGGATGAGCATGAGAGCTTACTCCAAAATAAGTCCCACCATCAAACATCTTGAAATTCAAAACACTATTTATAAAACCCTTCACAGCTTCCATACCCTTTTTCATCTCTGAGGTGAGAATAGCACGGACTTTTGTAAAAGGTTTTGAAGTCCGTTTGTATTTCACCTCATACTCTATCACATCACCAGAGTAGATGTGAGGTATAGCATCATATGATGATCACCCTTGATCCCTTTGTACTTCACCTCCTTTTGCAATTGTATCATATATTTTCTGAATGGTGCAATCGGTCTTGTACATGACGTCCTTGACATGTCCCTCGTCCATTAAGTTCCCTTGAGAAGCATTACAATACTCATCAAGTACATAGACTCTAGAGGCTAGTCGCATGAATGTATCTGTCGGCACAACTCCATAGTAGATGATCGGGTCGATGTTCACAAAAAAAAAAACTTCTTGTTAGGCATATCAGTAACTACTCTTATTATGGCTAATAATTTCCTTCCAAAATCGAAAGTCTACTAGCACTATTGTTCATCTTCACTACCTCAAAATCAGTGGGAACAATACAGTTTCCATATATTTTTTTTTTATATTTAATTTAAGTCATGTAGATAAATTGATCTAAAATATTAATATATGTGCGTAGGAACTGTGTTGGAGAAACTTAACTGTTGATGATGCTCTAAAGAATCGCTGCTGACGGCTAAATGTACTGTGACATGCCTAAAACGGAAACCTTGACCAAAAGTGAATCGTGACATTGTATAAAGAATCGCTGGTGACCGCTTAATGAAATCAACATCATGCGAACATTACTTGAATGTTTGGTTTCGAATCTTTTTTTTTGTGCACCGTTTATTGGTAGACTTTGATAAGGACTTTTTAACAGTGTTACTAATAAGGATAGATGATTTCTTGTCTTATGTAGCCGATGCATTGTTTTTTATATTTTATTTTATGTAGTCAGATGCGTTGTTCGAGGAATTCTACCACAAAAGTTTACCCTAGCAGCATTATATTGATCTAAAGTTGGGCAAGAATTCAACTTTTTTTCTTTAGATTCTATAAAATAAAGTTCAAAATTTTTAAAATATTTTGATTGTTTAACTAAAATATTTTAACTCAAGTTAAATAACTATCATATTGTAATTTAGATATCATTTTCGAAATTTTATTTTGAGGAGTATCATTATTGTAATTTTAATATAAAGTGGTATATCATTATTGTAATTATGATATCAGTTTAATTACTTAGAGCATCTCTAAAAAGACTCTATTATAGAGTTTTGCAAACTTTATATTTGAAGTCTTTTTATATTTGAAGTCTGAAGGTGTTATGCTCAAAACGCAAAACTTCAAATGTAACTTTAAAAGTATTTGTATTTTATATAATGGCCATTTTTTTTTATAACTAACTCAAATGTATATAACGTTTATAAATAACTATCACATGTATAAAAACACAAAATTTTACACTAAAATATAAAACTATAAATAGAAATATATAACCAAAATACCACATTATATCATGTAATATTGTGGATGTATAGTTCTAGTTTTAAAATATTTTAAAGGTTATCTTGATGTTTTCTTCTTAGAGAATATGTAAAATTGAAATTTATAAAAATAATTTTGAATTATTTATGAGATAAAAAATTTTAAGTATTAAAATAATAAATAATAAAATATTTAAGGTTATTATAATTAGGATTTGTTTATAAGGACCAAAATGCAAATAAAAATATGAAACTTCAAATTTGAAGTTTTAGAGTTCACTTTTAGAGAATCAAAAACTTCATATTTGAAATTATAGAGTGTATTTTGGAAATGTTCTTACCGCCGGAAAGGATATGAGCAGTTTACTTTTATTATTTTAAACACATGAGATTCTTTCTGTTTGCATTTTGATTGAAGTTTTCTTATTACCATGAAATTCTATACTCTTTTTACTTACTAGTTGCATACCCCCCGCGCAAGCGCGGAGCCGGGATCATTGATTTTTGCTTGTGTTTTTTCTGGTTGTTGGTTTAGTGGGTTATTCTAATAATACCAAATAATGATGAAGTGGAAAGAATGTATGAAGAGTGTAAAGTAAAAATATTGTATATATAATGCGTTAAATGTTATTTATATGTGAAGTAAGTTTTATAGGGATAACTAAATTATAATATAGTTTCTAGTGTATAAAAATAGATGTCTATCTTCTTTTTTTTTTTTATGTTGGTAATAGTTTTTATATCGAAGATCAAAACTTGATATAATTATTTATTTATAGTATTTATATTTGTACTAAACGATTTATCGATTTGAAAATAACTTTAATTTAAGCTAATATTTGTTGTTTGGGTTTCAATAGATAGGTTTAGATATGTTTTTTTTGTAAGTTTGGATTTTTCTCATGAATAATGTGGCATTTTTATTTACGGCGTAATCGACTGTGGAAATCCATTCGTCGTAGTCTGTTAAAAATGAAATTATAGTAACTATTAAAAATTGAAAAGAAATTACCTAGTTATTTTATAAATAACAAAAAATACATAAATTTTGTTGTTTTTATTTTATTTTACATACATAATTTTTTGAAAATATATATTAGGAAATATGTTCTAACATAATAGTGCCGCGTGGGACTCGTTTTGTTTTTTTTTTGTTTTTTTGGCTGTTTTTTTTTGATCCATTTTTAATTGTTTTTGGGTTTGAATTCGTCAAACTTTAGGATTTTTCTACTATTTTGGGCGTGAAATAATAAGTCCAGAGGTAAAAAAAACATACAAACATTAAAACTAAAAAGTCCATATGATAATAATTCAAACGAAAAAAACTAAAATACATAACAGTTGCGTGGTTTGAACCCACATGCTTACAGACTTAATTAGATGTCTTATACCACTTTGCTAAAGTGTATTCATTGTTCATAGTCATTTTTAAAAAAATATAAGCTTTTAAAATTTAAACACGCGGGACCCACAAACTTGCTGACGTGGACAACTTTAGGAGCCTTAGAAGTGAACTATTATAATATAGATTTATGATTCCACCATTTAATCTTTATAGCATACACTTGATGATGATATCTTGCATTTGTAATTAGCATTTTCGGATTTGATGTACAATAACTTTTACGACTTATGTTTTATATGCATATGTACATTTATCTATGCAAATTTGGCATTCAATGGTTTGAAAATTTGTATTTTTTTTAGTTTCAGTGTTTTTTCACGTAGAATTGGATTGTACAGTGGCTCTTTGATCTGACTGCGCAATTAAATAAAGACATACATAAGCAACAGTAGTGTGCCCCTTAGAACAATTCTATCAGTTGATACTCTAACTCTAATAAAAAAGCAATGAAAATATCTCATTTGCTATATCATGAAACACTCTCAACCACATTTGTCAACTTGTAAATGACTTAATTTATTTTTAACCATTTAAATTTAATCAGTTAATTCAATTAATCTTTAATAATGATTTTATCTTATCTACAGCCCCATTTTAGATACTAGTGCAACACATTTACTCTTAAAGGAAATGACTCATGTGAGGTGAGGAAAACAACAAGTCACCACCAACCAACAACGTAGCCAAACAGAGAGATAAGGTAATTAATATAAATGATTTATTTCTTTTTAAACATTTGAAATTTAACCTGTTAATTAAGTTAATAGTAAAATAATAATTTTCTTCGATCTACAGCCTTATTTTAGATACTAGTGCAATACAGTTGCTCTTATACAAGAAGACCCTTCTGAGGTAAGGAAAGCAACAAGTCACCAACTAATAACGTAGCCAAACAGAGAGATAAGGTAATTAGTATTACATAAATTAAATCTGTTTTTGTGAAATGATTCGATTGGGCTGTACAGCATGTTAATTAATAATTCAACAACCACCGTTAATTTTATTTTTGTTTGACAAGGATTAGTACTTAGTAGTAAAAGGTAACACGATATAAAAATAAATTATATTGGCCTAAAGTTAAGTACAAAATAATCTGCAGAGTGGAGACGATGAGTGAGTGAGTTTGATGCGTTGCTTCCACCATCAAACATCACAATTATAATCATTTCTTCTTCTTTCTGGCCTAGAGTCATTTCCTTGATATCTCGCCATCGGTTTCAGGAGAAACCCTAGGGCTAAATCCGTAGAAGACATCTCGCTTTCTAACAGTGATGATCATCAACATCATAATCCACACCTTGTCCCGAATTGGAACGGCTCTAACATCTTGAACCCTTTCCACTTTAAGACACAATTGCTCTTGACCTTACAAAAACTCACTTAATTAGACCAATCCCTCTTTATCAAACCCATAATTATCCCGATCTCCTCCGTGTTTTTGATCCGGTTTGGTTACAAGCCTATTACCAGCATCATCACCACACTCCTAATGAGAGCTCCTCGGATGCGATGGACTACTCCTCTTCATGCCTGCTTCGCTCACGCGGTCGAATTGCTCGGTGGCCTTGAAAGTACGTTCCATTTTAAAACTTATCTCTTTATCCACTTTTAACTACCTTTTTAAAACTTTTTAATGGGTTCTTGTTTTCACTTGAATCAAACGTTTACTAGGAGCAACACCCAAATTAGTTCTTGAGCTTGTCAAATATCTCACCTTGGCTTACGTTCTGATCATGTCGCTTTGTGTCACTGTTGCCATGTCTACACCAACTCCAGTTTTGACAATTAATGTAAGTATCATAATTTGATTTTAGTTTGACTATACGAAATATATATATATATATATTTTTTTTTTTAATTTTCTAATTTTTTTTCTCTTAATAGAGTCCGGACGGGGACCTGATCGACTGCATGAAGATAAACGATCAACCGGCTCTTCATCACCCTCTTCTAAGAAACCACAAAATCCAGGTTTCTTCGTTTATGTTAAACATATAATTTTAAAGCCACTACCTAAACACATTCCATCGTGTCTTTTCTTTTTATAACATCGTCATCTAAACTAAAGATATATATGATGCAGGAAACACCAACTGGTCATATAGTACAAAAAGAAGAAAACTTCGGTTGGCAAGTATGGCAGAGGAGTGGAACGTGTCCCCGAGGATCTATTCCTGTAAGAAGGTCTGAAACCACCATTATTCAGAAGAAATATGAGACAGTTACTCCCAATGCCGCCGCGGATAGAGCCACTCGTGGACACCAGGCAAGTACATAATACTTAATTATCTTTAAAAATATTTACACAAAAATTTGAAGGAAGATAACCATATATATTAGAAAAAAATGATTTCAACTTATTTGAATCTTTACTTAATTATTTGTAGAAATTAAAACATAATTTTCGAATATAAGGCGTATGTTAGTATTTTTCCTCATCGAAACTCTTAACAGGAATCACTAGCTTAATCAAAAACCATAGATTTCCTTTGCCTCACCTCTTGAGAGTTTAATTTCGTTTCTTCTTTATTTCCGAAATCAAAGACGATAATTGAATCATGGGAAAATTGTTTTTTAGTCCAAAATAATTAGAACATTGTTCTTTTAGACTAAATTATATTTTGTTCCATTTTGACATTAATGTCCTTAAATATTTTAAGAAATTAATCAAAGAAATAGTTTTATAAACAAAAAAAATTCAAAAAATAGTAATTAACGATGAAATATCTATATCAACTTGTATTTTTTTCCAGTTTAAAAGAAAATAAATCATAATTTCATATTTTGTTCTACAAATATTAGAATTGGCGTTCTATGGAGTAGAATATAAAATCCATTTTTTTCCTAAAATCTACTATATTCAGAATACATGTTCTATGTAAATAATAGTAATCTAAAACAAATTAAAATACACATTCCGCATTTAATCTATCTATCTAAAATCAGTAGAAATCGATATGTAACATATTATTATAAATCTAAAACATGTAGAGAATGATTTCAAACATTCTTACTCCATTTACATATAATAGAATACATATTCTACAGATAAGGATAATTAATTCTGAAATTTTGGAAATAAAATATTTGAAAATATTAAGTTACCATATATTAAAATTTGATTTTTCAAAAAAAAAATATTTGATTTTTATTTTTAATTAGAATTTAAATTAATATTATATTTCCAAATATTTTTTGAAATATATGCAAATATTTCAAATAAATAAAAAAATATTTTTAAATTATTTTCTTAAAAATGTTTGAAATTCATAATTTTTAAAATAAAATATTTGGATATTTTAAAATTTCGAATAAGTTTTTTTTTTTAAATTTCAAATTAGTTTTAAATTATTTTGAAATATTTTTGGAAATTTTGTTTTATTTCGAATTTTTTTTTGGAAATTTGGAAAAAAAAGTTTTTAATGTCGAATATTTTTAAAAAAATATTTGGGATTTAGAAAATTTGGGAATAAAATATTTGAAAAAAATATCATATTATTTTTTATTAAATCTTAAATATATAATTAGAATTTTATAATTAGAATTTTGAATTAAGAAACTCACTTTAAAGATATTTTTGTCATTTAGAGAATATTTAGTCTAATAAGATAACTATACAATAAGATTAGCTTAAATGGACAATGTACTAATTATTTTAGCCTAAAAAAGCAATTTTCCCTTGAATCATATCTTCTTCCTCGTCAGAAGCAAACCCTGTTCTACATATCTAAACCATTATACCAAAACACTCATCCCTCTCTGGTTTGATTTCTTAGCTTGAGACAGATGTTAATTCACGATTTAGTTTTTAATATAAATTAAATACAAGTAAAACAACACTCTTATAACATACATTACTAAATATTTTACTATCATAGATCTACAAAAAGAAAACAAGTAAGTATATACAGAAAATTATAAAGTATTTTCAGAATTAAAAAATATAAATCAAACTTATGGTTTAAAACCTAGTAATCTTGTCAGCAATTGTGTAGTTCATTCATAATAACATCAATTTCAAAGATTTAAGATTTTGTAGTAGCTAATTTTAATATATTTACTTATTATAATTAAACATATGATCGAGAAATAAGTGAACAGAAAAACATGTGAGAAATATTATCATTGTTATTGACAACTGTTAAAGAAATGTACCAATAAATAAATAGGGACGAGGAAAGGGAGTGGAAAATAACTAAAGCTTTTAAAACCTGTTAAAATTGAAACTTTACCCATTTGGTCGGAAAAAATGGAAACGTTTCCCAAAAAATACTAAGATAGAAATGTTTAATTAATGCAACCAAAACAAGTAGGCCAGGACAAACAGAAATAGGTAAAGTATAAATGGAGCAAAAATAATATCGAACGTAAATGATATGCGGCCTAAATAATTACTCCGTCAAAATTTATTATATCAGCTAAGGGGAGCTGCCTCTCTCCATAGAAAGTATATGCCCCTGATATGAATGTACTTTTTATAATTAGAATTTTCTGATATGAGGTGGTAATTTTAGCGACTGGCTTTTAACTATAAATCTTCTTTCAAATAGTTTTAAATTGTTACTGATTTTAATTATTTAAAAATATTTTTTTCAATAATGCGGTATTTTAAAGAACTTTTATAAATGACTAGATCAATATATACACCCATGGATTTCAAATAATTTTAACAAAAGTTAGATCCAACGAAAGAATTTTTTAATATTTCAAAAATTATTGACTGAATAAGTGTAGATTATATGGAAATTTAAATCATCCCGGACCATCTATTACCCAGTATGCTACTAAACAAATAATAAACTATTAGTGATATACATGAAATGTATTTTTTTTGTCGACGAAATTATTAATACTTTTTGGTCTAAACAATAATAGTATGCAACCGCGTACGTCCAAAGCAAACCGAAAATTTATGGTACTAAAGCTACCATAAGTGTCTGGGATCCCATCGTTGAGGCATCGGGCGACTTTAGCTTGGCGCAGGTGTGGCTCGCGTCAGGAAGTTACGAGACTAACGAACTCAACACAATCGAAGCGGGTTGGCAGGTACGTAAATGATTATTCAAAATGGCATTTTAATTTTTTTTTCATATATTCAAAAGAATAACCATCAAATAGAATATAACAACTTTGTAATCAAATGACTAACTATGCAACTATATTCTACTATTTAGGTTTTCCCGAGTAAGTATGGTGATGACCAACCACGACTGTTTACCTATTGGACTGTAAGTTTTATTTTCTCTCGGTGGAAATTTAATTTTAAAATACAACCCATCGGTAGTAAGTACTATATACTACTAATAATTAGTTATGTGATTTAACCGTTTCCGGTTCTTATAAAATGGAAGTTTTTTTAAATGTCAGTACAGCAGAAACCCATGTTAATTTGATATTGAAACATTTGTAAATATGATCTGAACATTAGATAAATATTAAGTCCTTAACTTATAAATTAGATAAAATAACAATTTCCATGAAATTATAACAAAATTCAAAGGTTTGTCTTTTGTTGGTATGAGTATTAATTTTATACCATTTTCCAAAATAATGTTGTTATTGAACAACTTATTACAAAATAATTAAGAAAGAAACAGAGGAAGACAAAATTACAAGAAAGATGATCAACTTAAAGAGGTGATGAACTACATGCTGTCGCAGGAGGATGCACCAGCAACCGATCCCGAGTGGGGTTTGTAAAATCCAGAACACAGAAATGTGTTCAACACGAATGAACAAGTTGATTCTCAAAATAGTTGACTATTATTAGAAATTTTTTACACAACCACAGACTTGTTTAATCAGATTGACTCTCGATTTCACACTTGTGAAATGACATGACCAATTTCTAATCTATCCAACTTTAATCTTATGACTAAAGTCTCCCAAAATCTTACAATACTCTCTCCACTTCAAGAACATTAAAAGGAAACTCTCCAACCTTAGTCCTTTTATTCTCTAGAAGAAACTCATATTTTTAATCTAGATAAATCTAATTTTCTGGTTCCTTCTTATTTTTAGGCTCTTCAATTTTTATTTCTGCCAAAATATAATTAGTAACTCCAACCAATACTATGATGCCACATCATCTCACGTTATGACTTGTGCAACCTCATATTACGTTAACCACATTTACATGCATACTTCTAGTTTTAACAATCTCCCCCTTTTTCACTGAGTTTAACAACTCAAACTCACTAACTAACTAAACTTCCCCTCAACAAAATATCATCAGACTGACCAGCTCTTTAATCTCCCATGCTTGAGTGACAAACCTCTTTGAAAAAACTCCATAACATATAATGCCCTGTCACATCTTTTGGAACCTTCAACCTACTCACGCCTTACAAATACCTTAAAAAAACTGCATCATTAATCCATCACATGTTGACATCCGTGTATCCTAGTTTTTCTGAACATGCTATATTGCACACAAGCTCTTCAATTATGATAGTCTCCTTACATTTGGAATATAGATCTGATGTTGCAATCTATACATTACAGTAGCTTCTTGGCTCAACATAACATTTGTTTTCACTCCAAGATTTCATGATATTGATTCGCTCAAAGCAAATTGATGAGTATGTCCAAGTCTCCCACAAGAATAACATCCATTATTGAGATTATGTTCTTAAACCTTCCTTGATTTAATCTTGTTTTCCAAAGCATAACAATATCTTTGTATGTGTCCATGTTTCCAACACAAGTAGCAGTCTTATTTGACCTTCTGATTTTTCTATCAACAAGTACTTTTTGGCTTGACCATGTTTGATGCGATATAACCTCTCTTCGTTTAATATCAGGAACTGACTAAGCATGAACAAAATTAGAGAGACATATTTAATTTGATACATTGCTTGTAGAGCTTAACAAACAATTCCCCTTATATCCAAGACCCCAATTTTGTTTTGCAGTTTGTCCAGTGGCAAGAAGAGTATCCAAATCCTTTGTTCCTTTGCTAACATCCTGATCTTCTTGTGATTTTCATTCAAATTATACTCAAGACTTCTACTATTCTTTCTTCTAACAAAAGATCTGATAATCTACTTATATGTTATTTCAGTTCACTTGTGTTTTCCTGTTTAACTTCACTCTGCCCATGCAGCTCATTATCCTTCCTTGAACATGTTGATGGCTTCAGCATCAATCTCGTAGGATTTTCTATCTTCTTTATGTAAATCTGAGATTCTAGTTGCATTTTGTTTTTGAGAAGATTCATATTCTCTTTTCTCAATTCAACCCAACTGTCATAGGGCTTACGATATTCAACTTTCACATCTATCTCTCCATCACTGTCTGAATCAGAATCCAGCTCAAGTTCTTCATCAGTTTCTTTTCCAACAAGATTTTTCATCACTTCTCTTGTGTATATATGGAAGTTCAACCTCAGGTTGTCCCTTGCACACATCATGACAATGACAATCACATGCTGGACTACCTTTACTATTACACCACTCATGTGAGATCGAGTTTCTTCTTTGATTTTTCTTAGATTGCTTCAAAGCCTCCTTAAAGTTTGTTTAGACAATTCAACACACTCATCCATTTTTCGATTTAAACTTTCATGAAGAAACTAAAATCTGTTACTTTCCTTCTCAGCAGCGAAAGCTATTTCTTTTCATATCTTAGATTGACATGTAGTTACGTCCATCTCTTCCGCTTTAAGAATCCCAACCAACTGTGAGAATTTCATCTCATCTGTATTCATCCTAATCTTGAATAATTCCTTGTAGGACGCATACTTATTAAATTTTTAACCATCTTCTTATCCTTAAAGTTCTTACCAAGGATAATTGCTTCATTTGCAATGGAACTCAACTTTGAGGTAAAACTCGTAATGAATTCTTCTTCAGCTATTCTCAAGTTCTCAAACTGAGGTTCCAAGAAGTCTAGTCTCGCTCTTTTAACATTGGACGTTCCCTCATAGTACTTTACAAGGGTGTCCTATGCATCCTTGGCTGAACAACAACCCTGCACGAGTTTGGGACTGATCGAAACTGATAGCAGTGAAGATTTTTGATAGCGCCTTTGTGTTGGGTGTTGATGCAGTCTTTTCTGATTTTGTCCACTTATTTTTAGGTTTAGGTAGCTCCTCATCCTCGTCAGTATATATTTTTGGATCATTCCATCTTGTTTCAACTGCAGTCCAAACATCTTACTTTATCCCTTTGAATTGTTGTTTCATGCGTACCTTCCAACGTCCAAAGTTGTTTTCATCCAACATGAGTGATTTATGAACCGCCATAAACTCTTTTGTTTCCAATTTTGTGGCAAGACCTCAACCTATTATAGATATCTAAATCTAGGTAGGTGACCTGCTCTGATACCAATTTAAAACCTGAGAACACAAAAACACGTTCAGCACGAAATAGTAATGAATAAATTGATTCTCGAAACATTTGACTGTTATTAGAAATCCCTTAAACAATTTTATCGACTTTACACCTGTGAAACGACATTGACCAAATTCTAATCTATCCAACTTTAATCTTACGACCAAAATCTCCCAAAATCTCACGATACTCTCTGTACTTCAAGAACAATAAAAACAAACTCGCCAAGCTTAATCCATTTATTCTCTAGAGAAAACGCACATTTTAATCTTGATAAATCTAAATTTTTGGATTCATCCTTATCTTTAAGCTTCTCAATCTTTATCTATGCCAAAACGTAATTAATAACTCCAACCAATATGATGATGACTCGTCATCTCGCGCTATGACTTGTGAAACGGCGTATCACATTGAACACATTTACCTGAAGACTTCTAATTGTAATATGGTTGTCAATCAAGCAACAGACAATGCGGAAAAAACCGAGAAAAAGATGGGCATTACAAATGCCCTCCTCTAAGATATTATAGTCAATTACTTAGAACAGCAGCTTGAACATCATACTTTATACTAAACTTGAATGGGTGGAAATATATGAGATAACCATAGTTATATCTTGAAGAAAAAACCAATTACGTAAACCAAAGGAAGTAGGAAAAGCAGCTAAGAAGAATACAAACAATTGACAAACAAGTGATCATGCGTCTCATGTTCCAATAAGCAGATAACCCACACAATTTTACCAGTAGGTTCTGTCTTGTTGGTTGGCGATAAAGAATGCCAACCAAGAAACAAAATGAACAACTCGAATACATTCAGTAAACCAAACAATCGAGCTCTATGGAATTGTAGGAGACTTGTCCCCACATCCGGTCCTAGTAAATATGTGGCTAGAAACAAAAAACACGCAAGGATAAATCCTTGTAACCAATATCAAATCAGTTATGCTAATAAGAATTTTATGTCTAAATAAGGCCAAAATTTTGATAATCTCTGGCAGCCAGAAGCAACAACTTCTTCAACTTCCTTCAACAGTCTGCCTTGCATGTCCCACAGAAAATACCAAGTAAGCTTAAAAGAGAATCCAAAAGAAAGTTAGGATAAGAGTTTTCTCTAGAAAGAACACCGTAAAAGTTCTGTGTTTATGGATAGCGAAAACTGTAGAGAAGTTATACATTCCCGAATCCAAGCAACAAAAATAGGCGGAAATGATTTGAGCGTCCAACAAATGAAGAACAAGACTTCATAAGACGATGTCGAAATCTTCTCTTATGTTCATCTTTAGCCCACAACTTTTAGGACCAAAAACTTTTGGATCGTTTCTGATTGACTCCAAAGAGAGCATGACATTCTCATCCAAACTTTTCCTTTAAGAAAAGTTGACTAGTTCAGATTATGATTGATGTTAGCTTGTAGACAATGTTAGAACAACTAATTGGTCTATAATCACCAAGGAGACATGCTTCAAGCTGCTTTGGAATGAGGCAAACAACTATAGTGTTAAACCCTTCAAAAGTCACCCATTCCTGAAAAACTCTCAGACTGAGATACTCTAATTTTCAACTCCCTTCCATTTGAAGAACCAGAGATCAACTCATCTGAATTTTTTTTTGGTAAGGTAGATTTAAAAAAGACCCTACCCACCACATAGTTCTCCTATGTGTTGTTTCAGGTGCCATAAGAATTTAGTTTATCCATTGCTGTGGCTAATCTTCTCAGACTTTCCCTATTAAATAATGTATATTGAACATCCATAAGCTTCTCGGAACGTGAACAAATTGTCAGGGTTAAAATAAGGTGACAACCATCGACGAACATCATGTTAACCATGTTATTTCACATGTTCCAGATCAAAAGAATTGCTTGATATCGCTCTTTGAAAACAACAAGAAAGAAAGTATCTGAGCCAAGCCGATGCATACAGATCCTTCGACCTGCTCTTGCGTAGTCTGTGTCAACTACCTGTAAGATTTTACCCATAGCAGGAACACCATCACTCGAAGATAATTTCTTTCAATTTATCATTTTTCAAATTAAAGATTTTCATCCGGGATGAGAACAAACAGAACACCAGATATATGTTTGCCAGAGACTAAATCTCTTTCATCTGAGCTGTGAGTATTTAACCATTGTTGTTCATTTCAAAGCCATAAACCCTGAAGTTGAAGTTATACCCATCGTACTTCCCATCACAACCAAAGGAGAGGACACCATAGGAGGGCTCATTTTCTATAGAGTAGTTGTGGTAGAAGAGGGGATACTAACACAAGGGAGGTAGTTTCAGGATGGCCAACTAAGAGATATCCATTGAGAGAAAGAGCTTGATGAACAAGATATGGCACAAAACCCGTGGGAGAGACGCCATTTTGAAATGAAGAATCCTTTGATGGCACCATTGGATGATAATTTACCATCATTGGATCTCCATGCAAAATAAATTCGTCAGGGGAACATGGTACGCCTTTTTTTCTCCATATGGAAGTGCTGCAAGCATTTTGAAATGCGGGTTGAAGAAGCCTCGAAAATTGAAGGCCGAGCTATAGGTCACGTGACCTGCACCGAGTTGGTGGCTGACTGAGATTTTTCCTTGATCAAAGAAGATAAACTTGCCTTCTTTCTTGTTATCCAAAACTAAAGTAAATCAAATGGTTTTTTCTTTCCAGCCCGGAACACTGAATTAAATAAAGGTCTAGGTTTTATATGATAGACCAGGGTACCTTTCCCATATCCCGTCTGATTAGGGGGATGTTACGCCCAAGAACGACCAGTCTTGTGGTGGTACGGATGGAACAGACTCCACAAATGTCCCGCACCCAAGAAAGAATGTCTCAACCTGAGCCACTTTCCTTTTGCGTGCGGATGTAGCTAAGTGTCTGACTCTATTGGTCATAGTTTCCAGCTCTGGTGCTTGTTTGCGCGCGCGTGAACCAACTCAACAAATAAGGAAAGGATGTCCAGGGAGCATATAAATATGATTTGAGCCATATGAAGGGACACTCTCACTTATAGTGTTTTTGGAAAGGGGGGGGGCAAGAGCTCAACATTGTCCCCCACTAACTTGGCTCGGGCCTAAGTGAAAATGAAGGGGTGGGCCTACTCCTGAGATTCACAAAGAGCACCACCTTACGATGTTCATGACCAATCAGATCATACTGTACCAGTAGATACCAAATGATATTTTGTATCCGTATCGAAGAGATGTGGCAAAGTCTTCGGATCATTGTGCAATGTCATCATCAAATGCCCATGAGAACTCCCTATTGGGATTGTTCTGAAAGGGTGGGTTCCAACCGGAGTTATCCATGTACTCTATAAATATGTTCGACGGCAAAATTATATATATATATATATATCCGATGGATGGCTCGCACGCCTGTGCGGACATTAATATAATCTATACATTACATGTAGAAAAACTAATATGAATGTATAAATATATTGTAATTTTCTTTCTCTTTCACAAGGTACTCGTTTTTCCTCATATATTTTTTTATCTTATTCGTTTCGTTTCTCCTCATGTTTTTTTCACACATTCGTTCTATGTCTCTCTCCGCGTTTTTTCTCTATCTTTGTACCTCTCTAGCTCTCTTTCCCTTTCTCTCTCTCTTTGAGTTGATCAAATAATCTCAAAATCTCTCAATCATACATTCACTCTTTCACAATCAGTAATATCTACTCTCTTACCTTGATCCTTATTATAATCCTCAATATTTTATTTTTAGAATATCTCTATCTCTCTTTGATTGCAAAGTTTTCACCAGATTTGTTAAATCTTCAAAACACTCTCACATAGTATTAATAAATAATGTCAGGATCTATTTCACTTACATTTAGCCTCTTACCTATATTCACTCTCATATTCATCATGATCATAACCCTCACTCTCATCCTCATCATCACCATCTCTCCCTCTCTTTCTCCCTCTCTCACATGTTTTTATTTAGAGTTTAAAATAAAAATCACAATTAGTTAACCAAAAAAAGTTTATTATTAAATTATCACCAATTTTCACTCAATCTTACCAAACATTGATTTATTTGACCAAGATGTTCATTAAAAATATAGAAATAGTTTTAAAATTATTATTCTCGTTTTTTAAAAAAAATTACTTAATACATACATATTTATGTAAATCTGATTAATTGTATTTCAAAAAATTAAATCTGATTAACTAATTATATATCATAAGAATATCTAAAATTTCTAAATGATGTGATGTCATTATTTAGACCTAGATACTTATATAAACGTTAGATTCAACAATTTTAATATATCAAAATAACGTGTTTCTATTTGTATAAATTTTGTTATAACTTTGTTATCATAAAATTTTAAAATTTATTATACAGCAAAAAATACTAATTATTATCTTAAAATAATTTTATTTTAAATTTAATTTACGTTATATTTTTCATCTTCAACATTAATTTAAAACTTATCATTTATATTTATCTTCCTTGCTCAATTTTTCTTTATGTTGTATAAACACCTAAAACTAATTAGTTTATAATTATAGAAATACGTAAAAATTATTTCAGTATAAAAATAAAAAGTTATGTATGTAAAAATAAAAATTACAAAGAATACAACAAATTATTCACTCATGTTTTTTATTTATGTCTCTTTTCTTGTTTTCTTAGTAAAAATAAACATACCAGTTATATTATACTCAAAGCTATATGAATTATATGAATGGAGTATTAACTCTAGTCTCGTATTAATATAATGTTCTGATTTTTTCAATTTTATATTATAGTAAACTTTTTCATTTATTAATATTTTTTTAAAACGATTTACCATATAATTTTCTGTTTTATATATAAAATATTTAAAATCATTTTTTGAAAGTAATAAATCAACTGTACTATCAACCTTTATCTTTGAAAATGATTGTTTTTAAAAAAAAAATTGTACGTTTGACTATTTTGCATTCATTGAACATACTTTAAGAATACATATATATAGTAAGTGACTATAAGCAATATTATTAGGTTTAGGTTAATTAGTTTTGTAACATATGATTTATTTATCCACTATTAATAGAAACAGTTGTAAAATTGTTTATATACTTATTTCTATAATATAATATGTATTTATATGTATATTCTAATTTTTTTATTAAGGAATCTGTGATATTTAATTTTTATATGTATTTAAAATGGTTAATTGTTTGTTTGGCAAATATATATTAAATTAGGTAATTCTAGAATTAATTTCCTTTTTAAAACTTAAATTAAATAATAAAAATTCAAATAACAACAACCAATCAAATTAAGAGGATTAATTCTACATTGCTCCTATGAATGACATATAATCAAAGAATTTTTTTTTTGTTCGAACAAAGAAACAAATAATAAGTTACATATATTAATTATTTACGCTACAAAATTGCAGAGAGATGCATATTTCTCGGGATGCTATAGCCTCCGTTGCCCGGGGTTTGTGCAGACGAGTAGCAGGATCGCATTGGAGGGTGCCATTAGCCGGACGTCTACCTACAGAGGCGACCAGTTTGATATCACCATCCAGATTTGGAAGGTTAGGCAGTATTTTATTAATATTATTTAATAATATATTAAGCTAATATCAAAATAGACAGAACATGAAATTAAAAAAAACTAGAATCTGAAATATGTTAATTAGATAAAGGAAATATAGCGATAAATAGAAAGATTAATAAATGTAAAGATAATCTGAAATGAATGTGGTAAAGTCAGCCCTAGCTGTAATTAACAATCTCTCGTCTGGTGAACGATTATATCTTTTTGAACTTAAATTAAATTGGCATAAGAATCGTAGACATATGTAAGGCTTTTTGAATGCACATGTACTATTTAAACTAGAACACGTACCAGAATATCAGCCTAATTAAGTTTCGGCGACGAACAGCGCTTAATACACTATATGAACGATTATATCTTAGAGTAATGAATATGGCGTTTGATCAAAAGGTGTTTGTTCTTAATGGAAAGGAAAAAAATCTTAAGTTAAATTTGTTTGTTTAGTTATATACGTAGCCACATAATATTACGATCCATGAGAGTTGGTAGAGAGTTTGTTACGTAAAACTGATATTTCTCATTCACGAAGAAGAAGAGCTTTACAACGTTTATATACAATTGCTTACTAAACCGAAACAACCAATTTACAATCAATCAAACTAAACCAGGCAAAAGGAAACCCGGTTAGCTCATTAACACTACTTAGTCTCCAATACATAACCGTGTTAAATTCGCTCAGAATTATTATCAGATCAAAGTTCCATGTACCGAACAAATAATAAAAGAAACTATATTGTACTTTTAACATTTCATATTATTAGACACTACATACTTCAGGATGCATTTGTTTTACTTTTTACTAGGATATGACCTCCAACTTGCGCATGGTAAATTTATATTAAAATTATTTAAGAAATATCATATAAAAAAATAAAATTTATATTCTTGATTGTAATATTTTTGGGCCTTAAACAATTTTTTTTTTTTTTGGTTAATTACATAATTTGTTGACTCATGAACTGATCCATTTTAAAAAATATTTTAGTTTACAAAATCATTTATCGCATGAGAACCTAACATCTAGGCCGAGAATTTCAAGTCTACTATTTGGTTACAATGAAACTATGTCAGCTCGATTTTATATCATGATTTAGTAATTTAAAAGTTAATTATGGTTATGAGAAGTTTACGTTCACCTGCCAATCCTATTTATATTCGATAATTTTTTTTTCATTTTTGTGTCGTTTTATTTATTTTGGTTATTGCTCGATATAAATAAGGATTTTTGAGTTTATTCTCATTTTGTTTTTGTTTTTTTGTTTTTGGCATGAGGTTTAGAAAATGTTTAAGCTTTAAAATTATTGAAGAGATACATTCTTAGGATAAGATCTGCGCCTTCTACATATTAAAAATTTTATATTTATTTTATATTTTTCTGCATATTATAAAATAATAATCATATATTAAATAACTAGAAATTAGTTACTAATACTATTATGTAATAAGTTGGCATACACATATAAATCAAACGACCGCTCTTGTTTATTCGCAATCCTTTTAAGTCAAATACATCAAAACAAACAAACTCATTTATAGTATACGTTATATAATTAAATTTAAATGATATTAACATAGACATATAGTATACTTTTAACATAGATTTTTATTAAATGAGTTTCTACTCATATTATTTTATGACTATTTGAATATTTGTATAGCAAAAATTTACACCAACTATTTTTTTAATGTGCAATGTTTAGTGGCTTCAATAATTTATAATCATTTACAAAAATAATGAAGATTTCAAAATTAAAATATTAACTTTTCAATATATGTTCAATGCAAATACCAAAAATATAAGTATGCATTTTCATCTGATGCATAGTTTAGTTTAGAAGATATGAGATATATATATTAACATAAGCACATATTAAAATAAAATTATTTATTGATAAGATTTTATAATCATTTAACTTATTATAGAAAAAAATTTAGACTTTGATCACAAAAGTTTATGTGAGATTTTAACAGTTTTCGTAAATTATACTCGTTTTGGAAATTTCAAAATACAACATATATAAAAAAATTTAATTTTAATTTTATGATTAGTGTAGTTATGTAATTTATTTTAATAATAAAAATTTTTTAAAAAATGATATAAAGTCTACATATTGTTAACAAATCTTTATTATTTAAAATCATCAAATTAGGTAATATTGTAGGTTTTATTTAAGGAAATAACATATAGGGTATTTTGTTTGATATGTTATTTAGTGTGATATGTTATATATGAGACCAACGGAATTTGTTTTAAAACTAGGTTTTATATAAAGTATTCTAGAATCCTTCTAAACTGAAATAAAAAACATAGAGAAGTGCCACGTAAGATTGAATTATTTTTTAATTAATACAAAGTTAAGGTTACATCTTTTCAAATTTTTTCGATTAATATATAGGGGATTATTCTGGCTAAAAAGAAAAAAAAACACGAAATTGCAGGATCATATTTCTGGTAACTGGTGGATGGCTATGGGTGTAGTCACTTTAGAACCGGTCGGGTATTGGCCGGGCGAGATATTCACCACTATGTCCGACCATGCAACAATGGTACAGTGGGGTGGAGAGATCTTATACGGAAACACCTCTGGCCTGATTACAGTAACCCAAATGGGTTCCGGAGAGTACGCGGAGAAAGGTTACAAAAAATCTGCCTATTTCTGTAACCTCAAAATCGCTGAGGAAAACAATTCCCTTCTGCCAGTAGAAGACTTCCTCTTGCATGCAGACCACCAAGATTTATACACGATAAAGAAGTCCCAAACGAAAGCGTGTGGGAATCACTTTTACTTCGGGGGTCCTGGTCATGGACCTATGCGTTCAGCAGCGGTTCGGGGAACAGTTTCTATTGTTGTCTTGTTTTCTGCAGTCTTATTAGTTTTGTAACGTTGAGTGAGATTCTTCGTGGTCCAACTAGTTTCAAAACTATCTTCTAATATTATTTCGCGATTAGCAAATTGTGATGCCAGACATGTTAGATAAAAAAGCTCTGTTTAGACTTTGTAATAGTTATCAGCTTAAGGCATTAATGTGTTAAAAGCCCTACGACATCGTATTCAAACTCATCCAAGCGCTTCAAATTGTCACGCTTTGACGAACCCTAACTTCAATTTTCCTCATTTTATTTTTAAGCATGTGATCAAAATTTTGTTTTGAGTATTTTATGGAGTACTAGTGGCTGCCGGCGCTACGCGCCGGATTTTGTGCAATAATATATATTTTTATGATTTTAAAACTATGTTGTGTTTTTTAGGAAAAAAATGTAAAGAATTCTATTGTAAGTATAAAACAAACAATATAAGAATAAGTTCTATACTTATATAACAATTTATACATATAGATATTAATTTATAATTTTAATGAAATCATATATTACAGATGATTTCTAAAAAGTTATTATTTATTATTTGTTGATTTGTGTCATATTTTAAATAAAATCGGCTTAGCTTGAAATCATCCTAGAAATTTATTAATTTATAATGTATTAATTATCGAGTATTAATTTGTAGAGTTTTTATTGGATATTATATATGCTTCATAGAATTTAAATATAGTTTTAGATTAATTTTAGTAAATCTTATCAAAATATATTAAATATTAAAAAATATAAAGATAATGTCATTGAGAATATTTAATAAACTAAAAGATAGTTTATTTGTTCTCATATAAAATGTGCATATTAGTTTATAATTGTGATGAAACCATATATTTACATATAATTTCTCAAAAATTTAATTGTTTTATTCATTTATGTCATATTTTGAACCGGTCCAACATAGAACCAAAAAAAATTAAGGTGTTCATTAATTTATCAATATCAATTTATAGAGTTTCTACCATATGTGATGTTCGTAAAATCTTTGATAATTTTTCTTTAAAGAAATTTAAGGTGTTCATTAATTTATCAATATCAATTTATAGAGTTTCTACCATATGTGATGTTTGTAAAATCTTTGATAATTTTCTTTAAAAACTGGCGCTAAATATGTAATAATGTAAAGAAAAAGAATGTTACTTGTGAACAAAAAAAATGTTAAATATTATAGCTCGATACTAAAATATACCTGTGCAAAGAGAGAATTATTATCTAACGCTATAGAAAAAAAATCTAAATATTATACATGTATTTGAATAATCTTGTAACAATTAATAAATTTAGGAATTTGTTGAAAAGCAGGAAAAAAACAAATTTATAGTTCATCATTTTCTTTTTGGTGATTTTATTCCTTTATTCCAAAAACAAAACTTTATCTTTTCATTTTTAGGAACCAGTTCCTAAAGAAGTGATTGTTTGTATAAGAAAAACACGATAAATACCTTATATTATATCTTCAACATCACAAGTTCCCACATTGGTTAAACAAAATAAAAAGAATAACATGCAATTATTCTTATTTGGAAATGAGTCGGTAAATATCCTTCATCGACCACTTGAGAATGAGTCGGTAAATATCCGTCATCGACCACGACCATGGTCTGGAAAAAACATTACCTTTAGTTCCTTGCAATATATTTATTGCTCCCTCGAAAATAAAAACTTAAGATTGCAAAAAATAAAGAAAAAGATACATAAAAACAAAGGAATCGTTGCTTAATTCTTTAGGATTCTCTTCTATTCCAATTTGTCTCTCTTCCTCCTTTTTCTCCCACAGTAAGCAAGCCCTTTTGCTTCATTGTGGCCCCAAATCATCACTTAAATCTTTGCAGCTGTATTTGACCAAAAAAAACAAAAAAAAAAAAAAAAAAAAAAAAAAAA